TCACCGAAACAATCTGCAGATGTCATTAAAATTTAATAAACTATCATCTTGTCTTTATTTTTAGTTAGCACATACCTTAAACACTTCAAGCTGTAAGCTAATGATAGTTATATAAGAGCAGATGCATGCTGGTGCAATAATCTATACGTTTTATGTCCAATGGATGCATGATCTGATTAGTCGACTAATCGCAAAAATAATTGGTGACTAGTCGACTATCAAAAAAATCGTTTGTGGCAGCCCCAATTGTATGACATTCAATTATGATGTATGTCAAGGCGCAAAAAGAAAAAATACCCCTTCAGAAGGTCAAAAGCAAGAATGAGTCATCTGTTATTATTATTTTTGTTCCCATTTAATAATGAGTCAGGGATTTTCATGCACCTTCACCTCGTTTTTTTTTTAAACTTCCATTGACTTTAGACTCTTTCAAGACTTTTTCTCCAAATTGGACATTTAGTAAGACTTTTTGTTGCAATGTTTGTGACCTGACCTAACTACATGTCAGGTCAGTGATGTGAAATTCTTCTGTTATGTTGCAAAGGGACTACACAATAACCTTCGTAAGAATTGGGTTGCTCCCAGATGACATTTATGTTTCCCTTTCCAGCGACAAATGGGCACTCCCTTTCCCTCCGCAGGTTCTGAACGTTAAAAAGAACTAGTGCTTCCTTTTTTTAAATGTTGGTTCTTGTGTTGAAAAGTTCTGTAAGTGAGCCTTTTTTAAAAGAGTACAGCCCAGGTATGCGCACTGTATCAGTGTCAAAGGTATCGTCTGTTTTCTGTTCTGTACGGTGAAATGATGATGGTCGTGTTTTCTTTATTTCTCACCCAGAATGTTGCTTTTGGCTTGTTCAGTAGTTGGCAGGTTTGGGTTTGGGTGTTTTGGCAGCTGAGAATGACCGTGTGCGTGACTTTTTCCAATCCTGAAAAAAACAACAACTTCTGAACGCTTTAATACTGAACATTTAATCAAAGAAACACAAAGAAATAATCCAATAGTTTTGACTTCTCAGAGCTCAGTTTTATTGGCCGAGACTTGAATCTAATTATTCCCATTTCTACCTAATATGTCTTTTTTTTTAATCATTACTTTTTATTGGCTTTTTCCACCATACAGTACATAGCAGAGAAACAGTGAAGGAGCAAATAGTCATGGCTCTGTTGAAAACATGGCCCATTAAAGAAAGCTTATTAACAAATAGCAAGTGAAGATGCCTCAGTGGATTTTTAGAAACATTAAAAAATGGACGGGTACAGTTACACCACATAAGTTTTTATTTTCTGTGTTTACGTGTTAATTGATTCGCTTGCCTGGCAGCACTTGATGCTGAGGTTATTTTGCAGAAGATGTTGATGTTCTGTTAGACCTGCTGTGTGAGGGAGAATTGTTTTAGAAACTGACAAACATGGTACCAGATGAACTGTAACCCACACTATGGATGTAGCTATTCTCTGGGAAGTATTTGAGTTCATTGGTGCTTCACCATCTGGGGACCACTTCCAGGTGCTTGAAATGAATCATGGCACCAGAGTTCAATGATTTCACAGTCTGCTTGAAAAACTAGGGTGCAACCTGGTCTATACTCACTACAGACACTTTGATGACTCAGAAAACACTGTTAGAGGACACTGCAGCTTTCATTTGGATTCAGGAGACAAAAGCAAAAGCTGCTCTCAGTGTTGATGGATATTATGTAAATTTCAGTTTGAGTTTGTTCTTCGCATATAAATCATTATTTAGTTAAGTTTAGTTTAAAAAAATAGCATGAAGCTAGGCTCACTTTTGTGTGTGTGTATGTATGTGTATATATATATGATATGTTAGCATGTACCTCAACAAGTCATCATTTTACCTCTTAGATTATGAAAGTTGTCCCTTGACCACAGATGCAAGCTTTACAGCTTTTTCGTTCCACTCTAAAATCATAAAACATGCCACAGTCATCCTTCATTTTGAGGCAGCTGTATCCCGGGCTTTGTGGCTGAGTACATGGAGTGGCTGCTAACCCAAAAAGAATGCCATTGGTATGGGTTTCAGCACTGAGATTTAGTTTTGCATGCTGATCTAAATATTACTTTGGAGGTTTTTCCTGCAGTGCCAAGAACAAAATGATGGGGGAGAACACTGAGTCATTAAAATATTGGCATTCAGTGCATACTAAAGATCTGCACAATATTAGCTTCCAGCTGCATCAGTACAAAAGTGCTCAGCATAAGCCCGCGAAACGCAAGCGTGCACTGATAGCATATACATGTTGAGAATAGCATGCCTTTCATGCTGTCGCCATATTCATCATGATTGTGGGCCAACCATATAATACTTTTTCTATTCATTGATATGTGATACCTTCTGTTTCTGTCTGCTTGAAGTAGGTTACGTAGATTTTAGAATATATGTGCACTACACAGCAGGAAGCCGACTATATATAAAAATCATTTTAAGTGCTTTCCCACTCTCATGTCCTTTAGGTCTTATGACACAGGAGACAAAAGAGCAGGGCTGTCAGCTGTTGTTAGAATCACATGATGGTTACAACAACAAGGAAGAAATGAATGCAAAACAAAACAAATGCTTAAAATTCAAAGAAACAGATATAAAGATTTCATGTGCACCGTAAAGTAGAAGTACAGATACAACATCATACCTCTCTTCTGTGGTGTTTGTGCCGTAGCTCATCGACCAGGAGATCAACCCTTACGTCGATCAATGGGAAGCAGAAGGGAAGTTTCCAGCCCACAAGCTCTTCAAGATCTTAGGAAATGCAGGATTTCTAGGAGTCAACAAACCAGTTGGTAAGACACCTAATATTATCTTTCGGGTAATGCAGTAAACCCTTCTAATATCAGTTTCTAGGATAGTGTCCAGTCCTCCTCACTCGTGTTTTTTGTGAGGTTTGGCATGGAATGGCACATGAGTGAAATGAAACCATCTGCATTGTTGTTAGATCTCTTAGAGACTTGCAGTGTATGCTGGGATGGGTTCCAACACCTGTGATTTTGATAAACGACGAGTTTAATTATCTGGTGGGGTTCATGCATTGTTAGGAGGAGAGGGATAAGGAAAGGCTTTGTTTCATCAAAAGCCTCAGAAGCCTTTATTTTGGAGGAAGCTTGTTTTCTACGGCGAGATCTAAGCTATAATAGCCGTCGCACGAAGGTGCCAAATTTAGTGCAGCATTTTGCTTTTTTGTTGTGTCTTACACACGAGGGTATTTTTAGGAAATGAATAATAATAAAAAGATGAAAGAATGACTTTCTCCAAGCACGCAAAGTGCTAAAAAAAACAAACTGGCGTGGTTTTTACTTGCTTCCTATTTTCTTTATATTGACCTTAAAAGTATAAAGGCAATCGGTGCTCGGCTTATGTTTGCAATATGTGTATTTATTACACAAGAATGACTTTGGCAGTATTAGAGGGCATGTCGCGACGCAGACTTTTGTCCATTTATATTTCTTGCTCTTTCCCGTTGGTAATCCATGCAGACGTGAAGACTGATTAATCATCCAGGCCTCAGTCTACATGATAAATGCTGCTTGGTCAAGCTGTTTACCTTGCCATTGCAAAAACCCCATGATGAATTTGTAACATAGCTAACATATCCCACAGCGCACTCCAAACCGAGGAATCCTCCGCCGTCTGCCCATTTTGACCATTTCTGCTTCAGCAAACATGCAGCACATCTCTTTCACAGCTGAATTCATGGTCCGTTTGCTTTTCTCTGCTTCTGACAGCCATTCATTATGAGTCGGGCTTACAAACGTTCCCACTGTGATGATGGGTGCTGGTGTCACAGCAGCATCCCACTACAGCTGTCTGAAACTGACTATCCTTTTTTCCAGATGTATATCCAGCTGGGTCGTCGCTGAGATGGTGGGAGGCAGTGAGAAATTTACAGTACGGGACCACGAAATGTGTGCGGTTCTATGTGTAATCCATTATGAATATGAAACGAGACTTATGGGAAGTGTTTGATAATCAAAAGCAGATGTTTTATGTCTAGTGTATTGCATTACTCCCACAGTATAAGGTCAGTTTCTCTAAATTAATTAGCCACGTCTGGTCTTTTTTGGCATATTCGAGATCTCGTTCGTTTTCTGACATTTGACGGCGAATAGAAGAAAAGCATGTGAGCAACATTGTTGGACAGTGAGACGTTTGCACCACAAGCCTGTAGGTCAGAGAGAAGGGAGGGTGAGGGAATTAAAATGTGCTGACTACACAAGCATTAAGCATTAGTTGACAAGATTAGAGCGGAGAATCCTCGCAGTGAGAAGACACACTGTATGATCAGGTTGTAGATTAACTGCATGTATGTTGCAAGAAACATGCTTAAGAGATGCCATTTGAAACTACAGCGTCAGCAACAGTCATTAAATGACAGTTGTTAAGGGCATCAAACTGGCATGGTCGAAAATGTATTCTTGCTGTGCAGCATATAGTCGGAGTGGTGCTAACATCAATATTGCTTTCTCCTGCAATAAAGAGAAAAGGATACTCCTGCCCAGTTTGTCTTACCACAGTGACTGCTTCATGACTCCTCGAGGTGCTGCAGAGAGTTAATTAAATTCAGAAATGATTAAAACTGAAAAAGCATGCTTAACTACGCACACTGTCACCACAACGCAGTGATTTTCTGCTTTTGTGTCATGTAAGGGGTATTAGCTCCTCATTTGCACAGACATCGTGACGTATCATATAATTGTTTTCAGTCTGTGGAGTGTGCATCTCTTTAAAATCCCCCAGGAAACATGGCTGACATCTGTTTTCTGCACAAACAATGCATTTTACACCTTTACTCATTCGTCTTGCTGAATATCTTTTAATAATAACGGAAAAAAGATCAACGATTCCACTCTGTGAAAATGCATGCTGTCAGAAAAACTACAATAAGCTGTTTATGTGTACCGCACTGCCGACTAATGAAGCAGACTCTCACACAGTTCTGTATTGTGTTAATTGATTCCGACGCTTGGATTACAGGAATGGGAAAAAGGGATTTAGGAGTCTGTTTAATTTAGATGTTATTCATCAAGTGAAAGAGAGACGTGTTTGCCCTTGATGAGAAAAGCGCTTAAGCTAAATACAGTGCAATACAACTCTTCAGAAGTACATAGCAAAGAGTCAGTCATTGCAAAAACATATATTTGTAGTAAAAATGTGAAAGCGTGTTGCGATCGGGCAGCTTGTTCCTCAATGCACGGGAACAAAACTCTGCACAGCAAACAACTGAAAGGTATCTTATGCGTAGTAAATATAAAGCAGTCACTAAAAGATTTGCATGAACTGTTGAAATGTTGTGACACCATTTTCGTTAGTTTTCCGCAGTTGGTGTTGACATTACAAACTGTAGGTTTTAAAGGGCTGTGCAGGAAAATGTCAAATCACTTTAACAGGAAGCCCAAAATAGGAATTAAAGAATATTATTTAAATGCAGTAGTGACAGTGGTAGCTTAACATTTAAGAAGCATTACAGACTGTTGACTAAATAGATCTAAGGCAGGGCTTGAATCTCATATTCTCAGTTTTTTTAAAAATAGGAATCAATAAAAGCCATAAAGAAAATCCCCCCGTGTGCAGTCAGAAGACTTACTTTCTGCTCTTTCTCCCTGCACAAGGAAAGACATTTTAACCTTTCAAAACACGAGAACAGGAAGTTTTCCCAAGGCAGCCACGTTGAGGAAGAAGAAGAGGATGACCCTTGGCTCACTGACTATTTTCCTTTTCCCTGACAGAGAGGTATCTGCTGACCGTACGGTGGAAATGGCCCTGTGTCCTGCCTGACAGATAGAACCTGGCAGCCCGCGCGTTTTCCCCTTTCACTGAGTGTTTTTCGTGCAGGATTTGAAAGGAGTAACCTTTCGGTGAGACTCGTATGTCCAGGGTGTTACTTTTCTCTCACTTTTTACTTTGATGAATACCTTACAGAAGGTTTTTCTGTCCAGAAACATTAGCACAGTGGTTTTAATATGACGTGACACTGTAATGAGGACGATAATGATGCACGCGTTCGCGACTCGACAAAGCAGCACAGTGGCACCTGTGTCCATTGTAATAGTTATTACAGGACAGTATTGCAGAAGGGCTTATGATGGTGATTCGTCTTTCCTATCCAGGGACAAGTGACCTGTTTTATTATCGGGTTCCTCATATCAATATTAAGTAGGGCTGAACGATTATGGAAAATAATCTAATTGCAATTTTTTGCCCCAATATTGCGATTGCGATGCGATATGCGATTATTTTTTAAGGTCTTTGTCTTCTGTATTATTAAACAAAGACAAGCAATACATCATATAGTATGGCCAATACTATATTACATTAATTTTAAACTGTTCTTTCCTGGAAGACAGACCTCTGTTATGATGACATGAGGTGATGCATGAATTGATGACTGACATTTTTATTTAACTTCTTCAATCACAACAGTATATTTGAACATACACAATAGTTTATTTTTAGCTTACAAACATCTGAGCATAAAGTGCTGACAAGGAACCCTGGTGTAAACATTAAAATGAAAGTCAGTACAATGTGCCGATTGCAGAAATATACATAAAAAAAATCAGTGGCTTTACCACACTCAGTTTTTCGACATCTGTGAACTACTAGACAGTCATTCAATTAAAAAATAATATTAAATAAATAAAACTAATAAATAAAAAATACACACATCTTACTGATCTCTGCAGTCAGTAACATTACACATAAAGTGCAAACATAATAGCAATTGTATAAACACACACACAAACCTCTGATTAGCGTCACCGCTGTCTCGGTGGAGTTTAATAAACTCGGCCGTCTGCTTCTTGCTATCTAAAATATAACCAGACACTGGTGTAAATTCTCGACTGTCTCATACTTCTGTTTAATAAGTTTTCTGTTTGACGTTTAGTCAGCTGTGTGAAAACCAAGGAGGAACCCACCCGGGGGATTAATAAAGTTTTATTTTATCTAATCTAACAACTTTAATCTCAGCCAAACCGATTTACTCACGAACAAACAAAACACTGAAAAAAGCCCAACAATAACATTTTTAGGTTGTCTAAGTGACTTATATATTACGTTTAACCCGAGCAGCGAAACTCCGCGGTGATCTGAAAATGATGTGCCGGGAGTTGTGCCGTTCTCGGCCGCATCAGTAACCCTCGAGCTCCCGGCTAGCTGTCGAGCTGGTGGGTAGCAGACGCCTCTGAAAACGTCGAAGCACTTTTGCAAATATGGGATATCATGATAAACCGAGCAGATATTTGATGTTTACACAACTACTTTCTCGCCTGAAAATATGTTAAAAGTTTATTTTGTGACCCAGAAAGATTAGTATGAGTAATTTAAAAACTTAGTAGCGGCCGCCATTGCTGGAAACTGGAGTTTGGCTGGGCCGCGCTATGAATTCTGGGATATGGTAGTAATTTGGACAGCCTTCGGCGCGTCGCTGTGACGTAATCGGTCTACAAATGCGGCCTCAGGAGGATGCAGCCCATGAATTTGGACATGTCCAGAGTATAATCGCAGCCTTTGCGGTTAGAAAATTGCACTTGATCATGTCGCGATATTATCGCAAATGCGATATATCGTTCAGCCCTAATATTAAGTTCAGAGAAATAAAAGAAATAACAGTGTGTTACACCCATCATCGCTGCAGTGTCTCTGTGCTGCACCTTCAATCCCCAGATTCTTCATCCTTGTGTTTCTCCTTCACGTGGCGCTCCACCCTATGGGAGCCTATAGCGAGGAACATCTGCTTCCCTGAGCAGACATATGTGTATGGGTTTGACATTTGTGACAGGATTTTGCTTTGTTTTTCTTCTGCTTGCTTGTTCAACCAGACAGCCTGCTGTTTTGTTTAAAGTGGGATAAACCTCAGTGCTTCCCTTCATTCACATTAACCGCTGCAGGGTTTCCAGGGCTCAGGGACTTATCTCTGCACAGCTGCACCTGTTTCCTCTTATTTTTGGCTCCCCCACTCCCTTGTTTGCTTGTCCCTATATATTTTCCCTTTTCTCTGTCCCAATTTATTTGACTCTTTCTGTTATTCGCTGTCCGTCTTCGACGTTCTGACAGACTGCGCTTTCCATTATTCCCCAACTAGTCTGGCAGGTGATATGAAACCACTTTGTTTAAGTTGCCAGCCTCTGTGTGGTAAATTCACTCATAATTATTCATTGTCGGTCAGTGCTGGTATCCATCATTCAGCGGCTGCTGTGCTGTATTTAGTAATGAGAAAACAGCACCGAACATTCACGAATGCTTAGTCTTCTTACATTTGACTGTCTGGTCATTATCATCAGGACATTTGTCCTAAACGAATAACTGTCAGGTTAAATCTGCTTGACCAGCATGATAATTGAGGGATTTTTAAAATTATTTATATATATTTTTGTACTGCAGAATGACAGTTTATCTTCATTGTGTTTTTTCTTTTGACAGGATTTGTTTGCCAAACCAAGCTGAGAGAAAATTCATTATAAATGCGGGTACATCAGCTTCCTGCTTCCATGAGTAACAGATAGAAATTGGTCCTTTCGCATTAAATATGTAATATAACACCAGGTGCTTCATTTTAATTGAGGATAAAAGGCAAAATAAAGATAAGGGATGGGTCTTGGTGAGGACAACTGACATAAATGTGTGTTTTAAACACGTTTATTATACAGCATTCAGCTCGATTACAGACCTTTGCTCTTTGGAAGTATCCCCACTGCCACAATGGAAGAAAATAGACATCAGTTTTTGGTTTCTTTATTTCTTTTTTGCAAATGGGTTGTTGAAGAGATCAAGATCCGATTAGAGATGGTAGTAGAACACATGAGCTACTGATCCCCCAGCAGTGCTTTTTACACATAATTACAGATAACACCATTAATCATAACACCCTATAATTAATCTGAGTGCATGCTCCAGTGCCAACAGATCACAATGTTATGTATGTATACCGGCGTATATTGCGCGTGCATGTGTGAGCGTGGTGATTTTAGAGATAGAGGATAGATGGAAGTGACACAGGAAAGGATTTGTAAGCCATTCTTTCTGCCTCTTTGTGCTTCGCAGTAAGGATCCACATTTGTTTTTCTTAAGTTTAAATGACTAAAATAGTGATACTCATGAATACACACGATGCGCTGAAGCGTTAAATGTGTTTTGTCTTGTGCAGAATATGGAGGCTTGGGCCTCGACTTCAGCTTCAGTGCAGCAGTGGCAGAGGAGCTGGGCAACATCCGCTGTGGAGGAATCCCCATGGCCATCGGGGTACAAACTGACATGACGACTCCGGCGCTGGCCAGGTACAAGCCTGCAAACCTAGCGTCACATTCTCTGAATCCATTCTTGCAACGAACGTTGGTGCTTTGCTTGCTTTTGTAACTAATCCCCTGCAGTGGGGAGGATGGTCACACGGGAACAGAGAAAATAAAACTCCTGTCAAAACTGTGGATAATATCGTAGTAACTTTTTGTCAATAATCTTTAGATCAAAGATAGAAAACACTTAGATTTATGGAAAAGTACATGAACTGTGTGAACGGCATTATTTTTTTGATTTCTTTTAGTCAATGGTTCCTTCTTTTATGTAACATGTAAAACAGTTTTCTTATATTTTTACTATTATTAAACTAGTAAATACCTCTAGTGAGCAGCCATTGATCAGAGTTACACTCCCTAAGCTGTATGTTAATTAATATGCTTGGTAATACTTTGTTTTGCCCATTTGGTGTGAAGCAAACTGTTACCAAGCATACAGGACCTTGGCTTGTTACGTGATATCCCTTTACTTTAACTCTTGGTGACACAAGACAAAAATTCAGTGAAACAGACAGTCAGAGTCTCGGGAGCTTAATTAGAGGATCTACTCTCGCCTGCGATGAGGTTTAAGTAGTATAAAAGAGCTGCAGATGAGTGGGAGTGATACCGTGTGAGCTCACTCCCACTGGAGCTGTAATTGCCTCAAACATGGCAGTGTTTTTTTTAAAGCACACGATCTGCCACAGTTACACGAGTTTGACGAAACTCTCATTTGACACTGTCCTAAAAATACTGGTAGAAAATAAAACAACAGATGGAAAAACAAAGAGACGGCGTCACATAGTCATTGTGTGTTTGTGTTTGCAGGTTTGGTTCGGACGAGCTTAAGAAGGAGTTCCTCCTTCCCTCCATCAGTGGGGACAAAGTGGCCTGCCTTGGAGTGAGTGAGGTTGGAGCTGGCTCTGATGTTTCGAGTGCGTTTAATAGTATATCTTCTTCTTCTCCAGTATCTTTAATTTCCATTAAGGGTTCATGTCTAGTCTTTTAATCTGAGGTTTCCATTTAAACCCCAGTTTTCTGAACACTCAACCACTTTTCAGGTATCAAGACCAAGGCAGTGAGGAAAGGTGATGAGTATGTGATCAATGGGGGAAAGATGTGGACCACCAACGGTACCCAGGCTGACTGGATGTGTCTCCTCGCCAACACCAGTGACGGGCCCCCACATAAGAACAAATCACTCATATGTCTACCCATGAACTTGCCAGGTAGGGTTAGTCGATTTGTTAGATGGCAAAAGACATTTTCTGCAGAAATCCACTATCTGTGATTCATTTCCAAGTTCACGATTGCGCCTGTTTTTGGAAACCACATAGATTGTTTAATTTTGCGCCCTAAAACAACTTATTATATTGTATTGCATGTTGACGTTCTTTCTGTTTCCTGTCTGTTCCACCGTAGGAGTGCACATCGCCCGAAAGATTGATAAACTGGGTATGTGGTCATCTGACACCGCCGAAGTGTTTTTCGATGACGTTCACGTGCCCTGTAAGAATGTTATCGGCCAAGAAGGCATGGGCTTTACCTATCAGATGCTTCAGTTCCAGGAAGAGAGGCTTTGGGCAGTGGCCAATAGTAAGTGGACTTTACTCAGTGAAGCTTATCTTACTTATTACTCCAAGGATATGATGTCATCTAAAGTTTACTTTCACCCATTCTCCCCCACATCAGCCTCCTACGGATTTTACTGGAAGTTTGCGCAGTTTATGCTCTATTTCAGTTTCACGTTTAGTTTTCAGATAAATGAGGAGTTCAGGACACATAGTTCTAGTAATTTGTAAAGCAGTTGTTTGCTTTTGATTTGAATCAATGTTGCCTTGGGCAGAATGCGTAAGAAACTATTTGTGCTGTTTTTACTGGATCTGATGCTCATGTTAGCCTGTCTGGCTTGGTTGATCCAAACCAGAGTGTCTTCAGCAAAGGTAGATAACACATTTTAGCGGAGGTGTTAAAAATAATCCCGTGTCACCTCCAGTCTTGACCACTATGGACAACGTCATTCAGGAGACCATCCAGTACACACAGCAGAGGAAGATCTTCAAGCATCCCGTCCTTCATCACCAGGCAGTTCACTTCAGGTTGGCCGAGCTGCAGACAGAGGTCGAGCTGCTCCGCTCTCTCCTCTACCGTGCTACAGGTAGTTTCACTTAATAGACAACATAAAGCTACATGCTAATATTAGCTCAGTAATGTAGGCACCTGGGCTGGGTGACTTTTAATTAGTCCTAAGTTCAGAGCAGTAGGATATATGGAAGACGCAGGAAATGTGATAGCTGTATGTTTGCATTACTAATAAGAAAACCTTGGACTAGTGTACCACAATGACATTTTATTATTATTTGATTTTAGAAACTGCACTCTGAAAGCATAAAGTACTGTGCAAAGGAGCTTTATTATGTTTGGCTTCAAGCAGCCAACTCCAAGAGTGAGTGAATCCCCATGGATGTCCACTGGAAAATGATCAGCTTACCAGCAGGAAAGAATATGATTAATGGCATTTTCTATAGAAGTGCTTAAACGATATGATATATAATAATATACCATTAAAGGTATCACAGTATTATTAAAGATTTTAATAAATGTAAGCACAGATATGATGTGACGTTTTCCTATTCATTTGCGTTTTAGCTTAATTTTGCATTCTGTTTATTAACGTGCTTATTTCCAATTTTAATATGTTAACTAGTATTTTCTTAACTGATTTTTTTAAATGTTTCTTTATGCATTTCTGAAAGACAAGTACGTGATGTCACAGTCAGATCCTGCCATCTTTTTTTTAATGAAAGAAAGCTACTTTCATCTGCTCCCTACAAGGGCTCACCACAGAACCCAGAGCTCCACATACTTGATTTGGCAGGTTTTTACCCCGGATGTCCTTTGTGATGCAACCCCCCGAGAGATTTGTGCCTCCGCCTTGGAACGAACCAGACAAACCCAATTCCAAAAAAGTTTCTCAACTTTTTTTGGAATTGTGTTTGTATAATAGCAGGTTGAGAGTGCATGAAGCTTAGTGGACAGCAGTGGCTGCATTCTGGCACGTGCCCAGCTCTGCCAGAATGCAGTCCAAGTGCTTCACATGGCCATCTTTATAATACGAATTCATGTCTGCATCCGTAGGGTCGCTGTCCAAGCTCTTGTGATTTGTCTCTCAGTTTAAAACCCCCTCAGTGGCCAGTAGCTTTGGGTGAATTCATCAGACTGGGAACAGTTCAAGTCAAAATTTGCTTGCCCAGAAAGCAGAGCTCCCTGCGACTGTTTGGTGCAGGTGTTTAAGCGCACACACAGACACACAAATCCTTTTTTTTTTATTAGACGCTGAAACAGGAGAAATCATGCGGCTCACACATGTTCCTCTAGAGTGTTCCTACAATAGAGGCACTGATCAGTTGCACTGGGAAAAGGCCTGAATGGGGCAAAACATTGAATCAGAGCCAGACACATCTGAAACTGAAACACATTTGTTTTATTGTCTGTTTTCCTCTTTTCATTCTGTCCACCTGGACATTTTTTACACTCTTCCCGGCTCGTGGCTATCCTTTGTTTTCCCTCTGCAGCGCTGTATATTAAAGGCAACGATGTCACCAAGCTGGCATCCATGGCCAAATTAAAGGGGGGACGCCTTGCCAGAGAAGTGGGTGACAGCTGTCTCCAGTACTGGGGAGGGATGGGCTACACCAGTGATGTGCTAGTCAGCCGATTTTACAGGTAAGATGAAATGAGGCATGAGACACGCTCACTCTAACGTAACTAATCTTATTGTCATAATAAAATGATTAAAAATGCAACGTAACCAGGTAGCCACAAGTTACTACTCTCTGCAAAACAGAAAAAATATATATCTAACCCAAATCCATGACTCAGCAGCTACTGTATGCACTTTTGTTAGGATATATTATTTCTATGGCACCAGCATTCAGTTTTGTTGCAGGTCTTTAATTAAGCCTTATGATTAATGTATATTATTTATTGTTTAAATGTGATTTCTTAATAATTAATGTTAAAATTGCAAACATGATTGGCTTCACTTTATTAATAATGCTTGAAAATTCTCGATGTATGCTCAATCATCCAGGTAAGGACATCCCAAAAATGATATTAAATCATTATGCAAATGTTCTGTTTATAAGGTTGGGGAAACCTGCAGTCAGCGGAGACTGAAGAAGTCCCTTGAATGAGTCACGAAACATTTCTCCCACTGAAAACGCTACAACCAGATGAACAGAAGCCACTTTTACAGAATGTTTGAAAACTTCTGAGGCCCCGTTCAGTTATTTAGTGCTTAATCAAGTAACACTTAGTTTCAGATTCCTAAGTCTTTGTTTTGCACGATGCTGACATCTAGTGACAGGGCAAATAATGCAACCGGATTGTGTAACCAAAAGTGACTGAACTTTGGATCATTTAAATGACTTACATGCAGCTTCCTGTTTGTAATTGTGACAGAAAAAAACAAACAAGAAATTTTCCTTCTCTGCAGGGATTCCAGGTTAATGTCAATTGGTGGAGGAGCTGATGAGGTAATGCTGGGAATCATCTGCAAGTACATGGACACACTACCTGGCAAGTGATGTAATCAACACTAACCCCAGTGGGAAAATCACTTCTGATTTGTGCACTTTAATCAGTTACTCAGATGAGGAGATTTTGCCTTTTTAACAATACTGTATGTGGTCATAAAGACATCCTCATACGGTCAATCACACAGAATAATGAAGCCCCCCCCCCCTTCCTTGTCTGTACACACGTGCAACAATGCAGTTTTGGTTGTATGTAATTTGTTACTTATGTAATTATTGTTTAGAATTAAGAAAAATAATGTTCTTTAATAAAAATTGTTTTATGTTTGAGATTTTCGCGCTGAAGACATTTCAGCACATCCAACAGCATGAAGTTACACCAGCTAATCCAGAGCATAAAATTTGTTTATTTACATTAATATTTTTACAATAAAGATGAAACAATGACGTACACTACTGTCGCACGTGTGGTCGTCTTATGACAATAGAATGTGTCCTTTCACCCTTAAAAGCGCATACACTAGATTATGCAGATCATTCTATAACTTGTTCAAGTTGAACTCAGCTGATTGCTGAGAATTACAGTTCTCGACACTGCCGTATCGTCTACAGTCATAAATCATGCTCTTCTCAATCCAGGTTAACTGGTCAGATATTAAGTATAAACACCGTAAATACTGATATTGTCTGCTTCATATATGCATACAGTATGCACTACATTTCCTGTGATTATTGATTTTCTCAGACATTGTCCTAAACCACTTATACTTTTTAGTACTCCTTTAAAAAGCATTGGTAGGCCTTTCTACACTTTTTCTCGAGTCATTGTTTGAAAGCCTGACACTGTGGCACATATTAAAGTGTAATGACTTAAAAAAAAAAAAAAAACACATCCCTGCCTTTTCTCTTTATTATCCTGGTCTGGTTCAGATGTGTCATTGAAGCACAAACTGGAAGAGCAAAGTCCAATAAGATCCTCCTATCACCTCAACCTGATAAACCAGTACAGGACAAAGAAGACAAAAAAGCAGAAGAGCAGCATGTAGCACAGCAGTTTGGTCTGACTGCCCCGGGACAGCTTCTTGACTCTGCCGATGGTGGCACCAAGCAGGCCGCCCGTGGAGTCAAAGTCTGTGTCCTAAAGTGAGATGCAGAGAAGAAAAGTGGTAAATAGACTGATTCTTATATAGCACCTTTCTACTCTTGAGTATTCAACGCCAGGTAGGGTTAGTCGATTTGTTAGATGGCAAAAGACATTTTCTGCCATCTAACACAATATGCAAAATCCACCCATTCACACAAGCACTTTCTTCTATGATTTCAAGTGCTTACAAACCAACATTCACAAACATTCATACTCCAATGGATGGGTCAGAATGATGCATTAACTTAGGGTTAATATCTTGTCCAAGGATATTTGGCATGCTGACCAGGGGGAGCCAGGGATCAAGCCACCAACCTTCTGATTAGTAGATGACCTGCTCCACCTCCTGAGCTACAGCCACCCTGACTACATGATTACAGAAGTCCAGCAGAGAACAATATCCAAGTGCTAGGAGACATTTCTGAAGTTTACAGTGATGGTATCTGAATCATTTACTCAAATTCTTTAGTTTTGAGGGGTTTCTTAGTGACTTCTGACCAATAAGTCAAACCGAGTAGTGCGGTGCTCTGAACGGATAATTGGAGGTGAGCTTCCCTCCCTCCAAGACATCTACAGGAAGCGCTGCCTGAGGAAAGCGGGGAGGATCATCAAGGACTCCAGTCACCCCAGCCATAAACTGTTCAGAATACTTCCATCAGGAAGGAGGTTCTGCAGCATCCGGTCCCGTACCAGCAGACTGAGAGACAGCTTCTTCCACCAGGCCATCAGACTGCTGAACACGTCATAGACACCTCAGCTTCACTACTGGAACTTTAACATTATGCACTCCATACTGTACAGTAATGCCACTGTTTTGCACATGTCTCAACTTTGTATATTTTTATATATTTTATTTATTGTTTACTCTATTTAATTTGTAAAATATGTGTACACACACACGTAGAAAAATATTTAGTATACACATCCAGGAATGCATATACTATTATATATTGTACATATATTTATTAGTTTCAGATGTAGCCATTCTTGTATTTTGCTCGTTACAGTAGTGGAGTTTGCACAACTCTGTTGCTTGTGGAGCTCGCACACAAGAATTTCACTCACATGTGCTGTACCAATGTACCTGCACATGTGATGTGACAATAAAAGTGATTTGATTTGACAACATAAAACAACACATAAAGCAGAAAAAAATAGCTCCCTACCAACCTCAGACAACACTAAATGTTGCTTCTTTTTTATTTATTTTTTGCTGCAGCAGCAAGTGGTCCAACGTACTCCAAAGTAAAACTCACCATATCGTCCAGCATTGTGTTCTGGTATTTGACTTCTGTGCCAATGTCAATGGAGAGCTGTAAAAATCAATTCATTATGATTACGAGACTTGTAAAACACAGTAATTGAAGAAATTGGGTTACATTTTGAGTACATACAGAAACCGTCGAATCATTTATATTAAACTCTTTGCTGCAATATTTACTGACTGTTAAACATAACAACAAAACGCTCGTAATCAGCAGTTACTTACACTTTTTAAAGCGTTGACTTTAGCCCTGAGTCCCTCCTGTAGGTGTTCATTTTCTTCCTCGTATACACTATATCCACTAGCCACATAGTTCCCAGAGCCTCCTTCACCTGTATTAAAATACATTAAGAATTAATGAAGCGTTCATGAACAACAGAGTACTCAGAGTACCAAACAACAAACATTTGTTAACATAAGCTAGCTTTAGTTAGCTAGTTAGCAACAAATGCTACGTATGAGAAAAGAAAAGCTTTGGTTTAATTGTTTGTTCCTTACCCAGTCCGGCGCGCCTCATTTTGACCCGACCGAAGCTAACACTGTCCAATGGTTTATGTTAAAAGACTAAATAAGAAGGAAGTTCGACTTCTGATTGATCCGGTAACTGTAGCACGTCTGCTCACAACACAAACGCCACGACACCCTACGGCGGCCGACGAGGACAAATGGAGAAAAACGAGTAAAAAGGAAAACCGTATGTGAGCTTGTATATGAGCTTCAAATATAATTACTATTAAATCAGTTTCAAAAGAAAAAATATAAATTGCTCATATACAATTTGAGCAATTGTATATGACCAACCCTGTTACTGTCATACTGAATATCCATTCAGTTTCAATACATTACAATAATAATTAATTTAGATTAATTTATGAAACTTTCAAAATCTACCTTAACTTTTCAAGGTGTGACAAATAAATACTCAGGAAAAATAACATGTTGTTTAATAATATTTATATGTTTGTGATGTTTTTTTCTATAAATTTCTTTTATGTACAGTGTTGCAAATCACTGTTAGTTGGCAGTGGAAATGGAATATAAATGTAGTAAATGTAGTGTAATTGTTAGAGTGACACTCAATCTTATAAGAAAACATTGGAAAAATACAAAATATGTCATAGAGGTCTGACCTTTATACTATACATGGTGTTAGTAATCGCCTAAATCATGTCACTTATTTTTTTTATAATGTTTTTATTGTCAAGTAATTCCCTGTTTTGTCTTTTTATTTTCCACACTGAATAGGTTTCAGTAACAGGGTTGCACATATGTTATAGAATACAACTTGAAAGGCCCACACAAAAATAGTCTGATGTTAATTTGTCTGTGTACCCTACAGTGTGTCCACAGTGGGGTTGTCAAACTTACTTTATGTCATGGGCCATACCATACAGCCCAGTTTGATCTCAGGTGGGCCAGACCAGTAAAACCTCTGCATAAAACAACATCCATCTAAACTGTTTCCATTCTTTAGCTGTCAAGAAGTACTTAAGAAAGCATAAGCATCAGAGAAAGACACCACTTACTCAATTCCCCTTGATATTTTCCAGACGACAGAAGGTATTGTTTTGGGTTTTCTTTGTTAAATTATTCTTTTCATTTAACGGATGAACAATTTCAGAAATCTTCATTAAAAATAATTGCGATTTCCAAAAAAACATGTTATTTTTTCTGTTCTCATTCAGTATACAAGATTGCTTTGAAGAGCACAAAACTTTAATATGTGGACTTTCTTTACTCGTGTGTAGTAAAGCTGACAAAATAAAACGAAAAGCAGTGTATTTTATTTAAAAATGTAATTATTTCACTGCAGTTTTCACAATTTCCAAAGACATCCAGTGGGACAAATTGGAGCCTTTGGAAGGCTAGTACTGCCGTCCGAGTCACATATTTGACGCGGTGCTCTAAAGCATATCGTCAAGTGTGTATCCCTGCAGGGAAATTTTCAAAGGCTATGTAACTCACTTTAAAATTTGACAAACCCACTAACAAAGGAAAGCTTTTCTCACAAGTAAGTATATCCACATCAGGCTTTAGTCTGTGTGCCTCAAGCCCGTTGTGAGGTGACAGTATTTAAAGAGTTATAGTCATATATCGAAAGAAGCCAAAGTAACTCGGCTTTTTTCTTTTTTTTAATGCAATATAAAGCTTATGTTGTCCCTGAATTGCAGGAAAAAAACCTGCAGGAATTTTGCATAACTGTCCACCAGTCTCTGACTTCAGATCACTGTAATTTTTGACCTCTCTTCCAAGCAGAATTCCTTCCCTTACTTCTCACGACTGAAAGCAGTCAGATGCACAAACATCCCACAAAATTTCACTGGGATCTAAATCTTGGCTTTGACCACTATAAGCCATTCCATCACTCTCCATTTGTCCTTTTTTTCAACCATTTCATGGTGGATTTGCTACAGTGCCTAGGATTATGATGCTGGTAAAAGGTCCACTTCCTCTTCACCTTAAACTTTCAGACAGATCGGCTCAAAAGATCTGAAAGCTCTTTGATGTGAAACTGAATCAAAGTGACTGCAATCTACACATTACCCACAACAAAGTAACCCCAAACCAACAATTCCTCCAACATGCTTCACAAACAGCTTCCCTGGAAAAGCTGTTTTTTGTCCATGCCCAACAGATCCTCTGTTATTGTAACCACAAAAGTATATCTTTTATTATGTCTAGACAACATTATTGTAAGCAGTCTTCGCCTGTATGTTCAATAGCAAGCTTAATATTATTTTCAGACAATAAAACCATCCAATTTGTGCAGTCTCTTTCTGAAACTTAGACACCAACAGCAGCAGCAGTGACCTGCAGATCCTGTGATAATATCTGAGAGTGCTTGAAAACTTCTCTTTGCATTAAAGGGGTCAAATCTGCACTCAGACTACAGAACAGCAGAAATGTCACTTTTCCCTACAGCGACTCATTCATTTCAAATAATTTTTAGATCCCCGAATGCCAGACCCCTACCATTTTTTCCTGACAACTTTAGAGATTTCTTCATATCTTGCCACACTGACATCAAAAGACTTTGTTAGCAAAGAGAGTCACAGGCTCTGGATGTCAGAGGTTCTAATCTGAGCGCCTGATTCTCATGCAATGGGTCTGAAGCTGTGATAAATGTAGGGTGTTTTATATGACTGATTTTTTCCTTTACATTATGAATATGAATCTGTGTCAGTTTCTTGTGTCTCTTGTGTTAGTATTCCTCCTTCAGGGAAGGAGGATGGATAAAGCACATTAAAAAAAAACAACTCACATTAATCAAAGTGTTATAAAAAAAAGGTAGAATGGGAAAAAAATACAAAAAACCACCAAGGGAATAGAAAAGAAATAAATAAATGTGTGTCAGTGGGTGCTAAACATATACAGTTGTGTCCAAATAAGGCACAGGAAACACAAAGAGCAATCAGATGGACTCAAATGACTGATTAGTTTTAAGTCTAATTTTAAAAGACTCACTGGACCCCGTGGACATAGA